ATATAGTAGAACTTGAAAGTCCGCGCTAAGAATGCTCTTTTATTGATACAAACGACGACGAGGACACGTCTTCGATCTACTCGTCGGAACTATCGTTTTTCTATGATAGAGCAAAAAGACGATAGCTTTCAGAGTTCTAGATTTATAGTACAATATTTTGACTGTCATGTGTTTATATTCTTCTGGGATCAATCTGCAAATAGTTTCGCAAAATAAAAAGCAGTGTTGCTGTTGAAAAATTGATAGTCTTTGAGAAATCGTTCTCCATTTTACTTTTATTTCAAAAAGTATAATATTTTAGAAAGGAATCTCACTTCTTTTACACTTTCACATCTCTTGATTTTTATAAAATCAGTATAAGTAGTAACCGAAAAGCCCACATTATATGCTCGTGCGTTGGTCAGGAAACGTCTTCCTCGAGTAATCAGTATAACAGTAAATACATTGTTGCGAGACTGGCACCAAAACTTGGATCAAAGGATTGCTCTATGAATCTAGCAACTCCACCGCTGACGAGAGGTCTGACCGCCATATTTACTTCAAATACCCGTCCGCCATTATAATAGTTTTATGGAAAGTCTCCAGCATGATCTGGTCTGGAAACTCTATAACAAGAATCGTATCAAAGGCACCGAATGCTCTATGCTTTCAATGAACTCTAACAAGATCAAGCTGTGTCATCGTCAATCGTTTCTCCTTCCATTCGCTTAGTCTATTAATTAATGTTACTGTCACAAGTCTTTCAAAGATACATGTATATATCAATTGCAGAAGAGGGGTGAAAATAACAGATACGTTACTGAAGCAATAAAGGGATGGTTTACATCGATTAGGTGTAGCACAGATATGGTTTTGTACAGTATAGTAGACACGTTCACGTATTATGTTGTAATATACACACATATAAATATATATATGCGGAGGCTCGTGCACTCCATTGTATATGTGTATATTCACGTATATATAAATATACGTTTACGTATATAGCGGAGTGGAGCGTAGTGAGAGACATAGGCGAGGCGAAGCTTCATCCCTTTCTTTTTTCTTTCCGATTCAAGAGACCACGGACTTTTTTCAAGTGACTTTGTCGTCGTTAACACGATCGCGAAACGGGCCTGAAATATAGATGGTGACGATTTCCGCGAGTTTTACTACTTTTGCTCAAAGGAATTCTTCGCTCGAGTATCCCTCGAGATTTCCATCTGGATGATAGAGCTATGCGCGACGAAAACCCCAAGAGTTTCATTCGTGTCTCACAGCAACGAGTAGAAGAGTCATCCATTTTTCCATGAAGTTCTTACATGACTGCAGAGAAATTTAACATAAGTCGAGAATAAGTGGAATTAGCTTAACTTCGTAATTGAAATTTACAAGTTTAACATTTATTTATCAGTTATAATTTTTAAATAACTTATTATTTCATTGAAAAATTCTGTTATATTTCATTTTTGACAGCTGAATATTCTTATATTAATATTTATGTTTAGATAATTTAAGAAAGAAAAAAAAAGAAATTAATGTAATATATTCAACAAACATATATATTTATTTATCTCTCATATATATTTATTTATAAAAATTATTAAAAAATCAATTTACCATTTAAGTTTCTCGAATTCAGTCTAAATAAAATTCGTATTATTCTATAAATTCGTATCTGTTTTTCAACTTGCACGATTATAGAGAGATATTGATTATCGCTTCAATGTATGATGATCAGTCAGAAATATCTTTTCTTTCATTATTTAATCATTGCTGAAGAGACGAGGCAACAAAATCTAATATAAGATGTGTAAGAAGATTCTGCTTATGAAACTATCTCATCTAAGTTTCTAATTTTGCATCCCTCTGCGGCATAAAAACGCAACATACAACGCAAAAAGTCCATAAAAATAGCGGGAGATCGGGTCCCCTGGTTTTCCTCGTTAGACGACAAAATCGATCGCTACGCCACGTGTTTGCTGCGTCACTGGCTGAAGAAGCATGAATTAAAAATAATCACACGCGCGCCACAACACCATTATTGATACGGAATTAGCGGTTGTATCGACGGTTTCGTACGTCTCCCGCGGTGGCGTATCTTACAACCGCGTAACAAGAAGAAACATCACTATGACGAAGCGAGGGAGCACAGGAAACAGCGGACACAGCACAGACACGAGATCAAACACGGTGGATCAGCGATGGCGATCGAACGAAAGATCGATTCCGTCCTGAACGCGGTCCTGTCTCTTGAATCAGACGTATGCGCGTATCTGCTCATATCATGGATGTTGGATTGATCCATAGACCGACTTACTCAGTAGCTTTCGCAAAGGGCATTCCAATGAAGGTAGGGCTCAGTGTCTCGGTGTACATCTCCATTCCGGTTCCACGCAGGTAGTCATTCTGCCAAGCCTGCATATCGGGCGACTGGTACCAATCAACCAACCATTTCTAAATCACACACGCTCCTATGCATGTACGGATTGTGCGCGTATGTCCACAGTGAGGTGCTCGTGCCCGACTACTTCCGGTCGCGGCGTGACGTGACGTGAAGCGAATCATTCGTCGCTTCCGCGATTCGCGCAATGAAGTAACAGCGCGCGAAAGAATAACAATTTACATGGTTTGCCGGGAAAGAGTTGTTAAGAATAATCTTATCGATAAGGATGTCAAACATCTGCCGTTTTATAGCCAAGGAGTTCGTGCGCTTGAACGCAAGTGATCGCAAGATCAACAATAGGTAGTAGTTTCGCGAACAGGACATATGGTTAACGGTATAAGATCTCTTTTGCACACGCGATCACTGTGAACAGTCCGATCGTAACAAAGACCTATATACGAGGAATAGCGTTCAGACATGCATAGACTAAGTGGCAGGTGGACTGCCGGAGAACGACGATTTACTGACCGTCTTAAAGGAACGCATGGCGAAGAGATTGGCCATCATTGTGCTGAATCCAGGCGCGAGGCAGGACTGCGCGATGAAACCTAGTTTCAACTCCGCTAGGCATATAACGTCGTCACCCTGCTTCCAGTCCCACGATGGAATGTTTAGTAAGTAGGCCTGGAACACAATCCGGTTGACAGGGTGAGAAGTAATCATCAATAAAAACGTGGAATCACTATAAAAAGAAACAATATTCTTGAAGGATATAATGTACAAATCGTAGATTTTAACGAACTAAAACATCAAAAAGTTGAACATCAACTTATATCCTGTAAATCGCATTTTGCATTTAAAGATAGATTTATCGACGAGCATTTAATTGTCTTGCTCGACAGCGGTTACCTTGTTGTGATACTGCATTAATTGAATGATAACGCGAATGTCATCTGAATAGTTCTTGATGGAGATTACGCGCATGATGTTCGCCGCGTCTTCCGCGTCCGGGTCCTGGCAGTACTTGTTCGCCAGTACCAAGCACGCGTCCGCCTCGTGTACCTAAAAAGCATCGAGACAATCCGTTTTATGTCGTTCGTTACTCCGTTTGTAATTGATTAATAGAGGGGGGAAAATGTATATTGGGCAGGACGTTGGTCTTAAAGCAATAGCGAAATACAATAGGAAGTTGCTCCACAAATATATATATATACTCGAAAATAGAATGGAGCAAAAAAGATAAAAATTATTGGTGAATCAATTAATAAAATCGTTAGAATGAATAAAATTGTATCCATTTAACAGCAAAGAGAAAAGCGATTATTTGGAACGCGTCGCGATCGTCGAAATCAATATCGTGCGTGTAAGCTGCTAAATCTACGGATCGTCGATCTACGATTATATTTGAAAAATGATGACCTCTTCTTTCCGTATTCGTACAACACAGATTTTTTTTCCGAATTATAAGGATTATATGATGAACATGGACAGCATCGTCGAAGATATAATATAGTAAGAAACAGAAAACCGTGGGGATATGCATCTACAATATAAAAGTCATATAAAAGCATTCAATAAGACAACAATGCTACTTAATATCGAAGATTCGCACGGCTAGTAGAGTTGACAAGTGAAATTAACTTAATTAAAATTATGATAATTTAATATTAAGTCTAAATTTCATAAATATATACTTCATATACATTACTTGATTGCCAATTATTATTATTTTTTTATTATTCAAGTAGTACATTTGTTACTAATTTCACATTTAACCATTGTCAATATTAAACAGATTGACGAATTTTATTTGTAAATTTACAATTTTTGAATTCTGTGCAAGATACAATTAAATATGCTAGAATGAACTAGTATAATAAAGAAATTCATTTTGGTCAAACGACATAAAAATTTGCAAAGTTAGCGAGACGTAAATGTCTCTGAAATGTCCTTCGTGCGCACCTTCGACCAGTCACACGATTCGAACAATGATCGAAAATATGAAAGCGAGCCTCTACATGACACATTCCTTGGATATACAAACATAATCGATCATCAAGGGGTGGAGGTCAGTCGGTTCGTCTAGGTTTTATATACGTCTGAATAATGGAGAAGCGCCTCTATCTACATGCTAAATCTATCGGCTAACAAGATGTTGGCATTAACCTCGGTTGTGTAAAAAGGAACTACACAAACAGAGAACGTACCGTCCCGTCTTCATCAATGCAGGATCGATACACTTAACAGATACCACGATCAACTATCCCACCAGATACTAAGTCTCTAACAGAAACTACCGTCTGGAAAGTAATCGTCTGGTAAACCAATCTCTCCACGAGAAATACACGGGCACTTACCCACTCGGGTCGACAGCAGGCATGGGTCTATCCAGTGGATGCATTACAACCTTAAAGGGACTTTTCTTACGTAAAAATGGATATGCATAAAGGTTTCCATGTTAGGTGTTTATGTGTCTATGTGTGGGAGAAATTGACGTTGCTTTCCTCTCGGATTTGCTGCCGGATATGTATTGATAAAAAGAGGAGATAAGATAGACAAAAAAAGATAGATAGAGACAGACAGATAGATAGAGACTTTTAGATAGGGACGACGTTACTCAAGCAAGCATAAGGGCCGAATATCGGGTTTTTCATCGTGGGCATTCTCAGGTCCGCATCCTTAATTGTTCTATATAAAATCTCGCGAATAATTGATCGAATCCCCGAGACCAGCCATCGCAAATTGACGAGACACGAAAGCGGACGACAGCATACGAAGACGCGCCGATGAGGTATCGTGGTGTGACATCGTCAATGTGTACGAGCATAAAGGGAAACATACAGGCAACAAACATCCTGGAACAATAGCGTTTGTTATCGACACAACGTCATTTCCCGAACGTCTACCGATCGCCCACGGTAGCAGCTGTAACATCGCTACTTTCACGCCATCGATTTTTCTATCGGACTACGCGAATATCACGGTTTGCTTACATTGTCTGCAAGTATCGTTTCGAGCTTTTGCGAATTTACATACGTAAGTACATACGGAAAGGAGGCAATATATGCGATGCACGGAAATATTTATTCCGAACATATGTATTCATAATTTTTCGACTAAACACTTTTCTCTCGTTCTAGAAATTTTGTTTTCTATGTAAACTTAAAGATAAAAAAATCTATCTAAAGGATGATGAAATTAATGAGATTTCAGAACGAGATTTTGAAATGGCTCAAGATAATATTAACCATACGCGACGATAAAATACTGGTACCGTGCGCTCCAAGATATGACGATCCGATGGGTCACAGGACGCCAAACATAGAGAAGGAAGGTAGAAATATTGTAAGAGTAAAAAGTGGGGACCGTGTTATAAGAAGATAGAGAGCTGTTTATGAGGTATATATATATATATATATATATATATATATATATATATATATATATATATAG